GTGAGTTAGGTAGAGACTTAGCTTTAGCGATATATTTTTAATGTAAAGTATACATATGTTTAATAAAGCACACATACTTAACCTAACAGAGGGTTTAAAAAAAAAAATTTTTATTTTTGAAAGTAATAAAAATTTTAAAAAAACTCTTTTCGCTGATCCTTTGACTATACATAAAAAAGATATTCACAAAAAATTTTATACTTCTTTGTTAATAAAGTCTTTACACTTTCATTAAAACAATTTGAAGCTTGTCTTCATATATCTCTCTTACCCTTTCTGACTTGTTTATAAACTTCTTTGAATAAAAACTTGAGCCTTTAGTGACCTAAAATGACTCAAGTATGCACTTTCTCTATTAAGGGCAAGAAGGTTCTAGGAAGTAAAAGAATTGACAAGTGAAGTGTCACCTTATAGAGCTAGAAACGACAAGAAATAGAGGTTTTATTGATAGGTGAAGGCTTATTATCCACCTTCTCACATACTGTCTTGTACTCTCTTAAAATGTTTACTGTTTTTTATAGTTTTCTTGAGGATTTTGCCTATCTCAGTTTGATCTTGAATTTATGGTAGCACAATGTAACCTGGCATCTGATTGGTAACTGAATATAAACAAGCTTCTATTGATCACCTCACATGTTCTGATAATGTTATTGGTGATAGAAAGAGTTGATTGATGCTTTATATCTACCCACTCCTCCAATTAGGTTAACTTACAGATCAAGTTCCATAAGGTTAATAAAATACGAGCAACAAGTCCTTAGGTGGTGAAAAAGTTGCTATTCATTCAAGCTAAGGTCTTTCTCTTCTATCATCCCAGTCAGGTAAAGTTTAAGACCAAGGTCTCCTTTTTATCCTGGTCAAGCAATAAGACCAAATAGTCTCTAGTCTAAGCTCCAATCCTTTGATTACAGTTAAGAATGTATTTTCTCAGAAGTTGTTGAAGGATATCGCAATCGATGAGAATCTCCACTGCTCTTCTGGTACCCTTTCACTATTATGAAGCAAAAAGATCTTTGGGAAAAGACTATTTTGGACAATAGAAGATATACATTAGTAAAATTTTTTTAACTAGGTATGGTTGCTAGAAAATATCATACTGAAATAATATGATCTAATCTTTACTAGGTCACATAAGAACCTGAGGTCCATCATAAATCATTCTCTTACTGTAGGTGGATAAAAAATTATTATTTAAAGAAGGTTGGAACTAAGTATGTTCTGAAAGTAAAGGTTCCTACTAGGTGATAAGTTTCCTCAGACAATACATAAGAAGAAAATCAAGATTAAGAATAGATAAGTTCCTCAGACAGTCAGGAAAAGAAAAGATATTTCAATCAGGTATTTCTTATTAAAAAGAGGTCTTGAAAAGCAGGTCTTTGGAGAAAGCTGAAAATATTTTTTTTCATTTTTTACTCTTTTATTTTCTTGTGGTTTGCCTAGACATTTTTAGATATTTTTATTCCCTTTTTTCAATTTATTCTTTTATGTTTTTCTGTAATTCAGTAGCTTGGTCAGATATATGGTAGTGACAACCTGCTGGCAATGATGCAGTGAACTAGGAGGGTCTTTACCCAAAGACACTGCAGAGTGAAATATTGTCCCAAGGTCGAACTTAGAGGTTTTTATGCTTACAACGAGTTTGTTAGATTAGAAGAATAGTTTAGTTATAGTATGTATCATGTTGCTTGAATAAAAATATACTTATGTTTTCAATTGATTAATAAACTCACAATCTAGCCTGGCTATAGGTATACAAAAAAAAAAAAAAAGTAATAAAAATTTTTTTAAAAAAATTTAATAATCTTTTTATTTAAACTAAATTTAAATTATTATTTTTATTTTGAATTTAAATACTTATAACTTTATTAATTTATAATTAAATTTAATAAAAAAAATATTTATTTTAAAATTCATATTATTAATTATTATATAAAAAAAGTTTGTTAAAATCTATCACTAGTTATTAAAAAAATAATGTAAATATATTAGACTTTGTTTTTAGAATTTGACTATTTTCAAAGTTTAATATTTCTAAAAAAAATCAAAATAAACTTTTATCAATATGTAATAATATTTAATATAAAAATATTTGTTTTAAAGCTTATATTATAAGCTATCATTTTAAAAAAAAATTGCTTAAATCTGATTATAGAATAATGAAAAAATAGTATAAATAAATTAATAATAAAAAAAAATAATCAATAAATAAAATTTTTAAATTCAAATTCTTATTTACATATAAATCTTATTAGAAAAATTTATAACAACTAATAATTGCCAATTTTTACAAAGAATCTATTAAACCTTTTTATTTATTAAAAATAATTTCAATTATAATTTCAATTATAACACCACATCCAATTCTTAAAATTGATTACTATTATTAGATCAGAACTTTAAAAAGAACGCAAGCGACAGGGGTATTTATCTCGCATAGCGGGATAGCTTGTTGTTTTCAAGTGACGCTCCTTGGCTAATGATTACTACGGAAGTCAGGAGATTAATCATGCTGTAATATCTATGACCGTTCTCCCAGGGGGGACCAATTGAAGGATCATGATAGCATATCATTTGTTCCATGTGAAATTGTTATTATACATTTTATGATCGGAGAATTACAAAATGTCGTTTGTGTATTGTCGGTTTTGCAGATCGGACAACCCAAGGGCTTACAATAATCCGAGCACACTAACCTGTGATATTTTCAAATCATTACAAATTTGTCTTTATAAATTTCTGCCATGTGTGATAAATTCAAAATTGTTGCATCTAAAAAAAAATAATAATAAATTTCGAGGTAGTTCATGTTGAGACAATTTTGCATCTTACGCCACGTCCCATATTCAGCATACGCAGCGCATCGCAGTGTGAATTTTATATAATAGGGCTCTATTATTCTTATTATCCTGCACTTAAAGATCAAAAAAATTCTACGCACGTATATAAAGAAGGAAGGATTTGTATGCATTATATTAAAGTATGCAACAGAACGTACCATTCTATTTTTTTTTTTTTTTTTTTTTTTTTTTTTACCTTTCAACAGAGAAGATAGTTTTTTTCTTTTTTAATATTGTTCCTCCTTTCAACCATTAGTTCTTATATGGGACATCATGACGAGACAAGCTATCTCACGGAACGCATCGAAAAGTACTCGACAAAGTATTTCTGCCAATAGTTCAAGAACGAATTATATGCCAATCATAAGGCAAAATATTACTTTTTCGGCTACCCCTCAGGATGTAATTGCTCGACAGGAGAATCGATTCCGAAATAGATCTCCAGATATTGAGGAAGATGAAATCCTTCATATCCAGGGTAACTTTCAAAATTTCACCATTGCTGAAGATTCGTTTCGAGAAAGCCTGAAGGAATCAGGAGTCCAATTCAACAGTCACCAATATATCACCCCTCCTGTTAGTCCAAAGGAAGAAGACAAGTCGAACAAGTCGACACTTTTTCAAAAGAATACAGTATCAGAATTATCAAAGTATAATATTCCTATCCCGCGAGATATGCTTTTCTCTCAGCGGAATATCCAACAAGATGGGCCCTTGGATTTCAGCGGAGAAAGAAGGTCTTCCGATAAATCCAGAGAGATATTTCATTCACGAATTCCTTATAATTGTTTCAAGAAAGTCTTGGAGTATCTGAAAGACAATATATCGGCACTTTATTCGTTGCTCTTGGTTAATCGTTCTGTGTGTCAGCTTGTCATACCTCAACTATGGCGTCGACCCTTTCATTATACGGCCAACAAACCCCCCAAATTTGGTGCCATCTTGATTCAGACCTATACATCCTTCCTATCGGAAAATGAGATAATACGTTTATTAGACGCAGGAGTCCACTTGTGTAATGTTCGCAAATCATTATTTGCCTACTCAAAACATCTTAGAGATTTCGATTCTTACATGGTGGAAAGAGCTGTAAAAGATTGGATCACGATCACGAATCCACGCAACTCCGACTCAATTCACAAATTTCAAATCACAAACTTGGTGATGAGCAATATGATCTTCCGTCATTCCGGCGGCCTGGAGTGTTTGAATGTTAGTCCTGATTACATCGAGGAAAAAGTTTTTATCGACGTCTCTCTTTTTGTAGGTGCACGTGATGCTTTATCAAAACTCACAAAGTTTGAATTGGATTTTCATGTTCGTTGTGCATCATCCAATGAGAAGGTATCGAAACTTGTCTCCATGATGTCTCACTACACTCACAATTTGCAACATATGACAATCAAGATAGGGTATTTGGATGAACCACACCTCATCATGCAATCATTATCGAAATTAATAAGATCTCAAAAGAAATTACGATCAATCACGATTGAGAATAATTGGGATCCCTCTGCAATATGTTTAATAGACCCGTCGATATGCAGCCAAGCGAATAGCTTGACCCACCTAACATATGACGGAATATTGATACCCGAGCAATTCATGCGACTATTACAGGCTTGTAATAATCTAGAAACTTTGGAATTCAACGGGCATTACAATCCATATAAGCATTCATTTGCAGATTATGTGATAACCCCAACGAGATTTAGTTTCAGCACGTTAAAATGCAAGGCCGATCTATCAAGCATAAATCCATTCAATAGGACGCGGTTAGATACGCTAGGGGCAATTCTTCAAATGGTCAATAAGAATTTACGAAACTTAATGTTGGGAGGGGCAACGGTGGAATTGATGGATATCATCGGTTCTTATTGTACAGAACTCACGACATTATACATCAAAAACCCGAATTTGAAGGCACCTATTTTGGAAGGGATGTTTCGTAAGTTTTACAAATTGGAAAGCTTGGATTTCGGAAATACTCAGGATGACACAACACAAGTTAACCAGGTAGACTTGGAGACCATAAAGTTTGTGGCAAAGAGTATACCAACAAGTGTAAAGTATTTCGGATTTCACTTTTCCATGACGATAAAAGGTCTAAGGTTATTCCTCGAGAATTGCGACGCGAAATTGGAGAAGATAGGATTATTCAGAAATTGCATGATCAATGATGAGTCGATGGAGGTTTTGATAGAGTATGCGATGAAAGAAAAGTGTTTGAAGAAGGTTAGTTACTATCCGGAGGTCTGGACGAGGATCGGACAGCAATTGGGGGAATTCTCTGAGGAGACATTGGAGAAGGCGTGGAGATGGATTCCAAACATCGTGAGAGAAACTTGCAGTGAGACTCGCATTCATGGTAAGGAACCCTTTCCATTCATTCCTGACCCAGGCAAATCATTTGCTGATCTCATTGTAATTTACTACACTAAAAATAGCCTGAAAAAGACGTCATATGAAATCTCTACAAATTCATTTCACAAGGATATTTATTACATTTCACCCTCGGATCGAAATTCCTATGGGATCTCACGCATTGGTCGAGATTAAAACGATGTATGAGTTTCGAATGAGTGTATCACGAGATTGATGGTTTTGTGTTATTAGGACTTCTCCCTTATTTCTTTGCATATACCACTTGTAAGGGAACAGTCAACTCATCTATGCATATGATACGCCATTTGTAAAATACTTTATGTAGCATACAAGTTTCAACTCTTACCTTCTATCTTCATTTTATATACCTACGCATTTGTACTTTATTGACTTTGTTTATCTATTTGTATATTTCCTTTTACATTTCTTGTTTGTTTGTATCATATATTTTACTCAATTCATCTTTGCTTGCATGTAACAATCCTCACATTACCAGCAATTTTATGAAACCCCTTTTAAGTAGCGAATTTCAGGTTAGCAGGAAGAGCGCGAACCCTTTTGTGTTTATACAGTATATGCATTTTACCAAATTTTTATTTTGTAAGATACACGTCTTATTAATTCATTGTATTTAAAAGCTAAGGCTTCGGTTTGGTAGAGGGGTTGTGAAGCTCGTATCTCCAAATTAAGTTTACAAGGCTATGTTAATTTGTCAATAAAAATATTATGAGATTTACGTGTCCCTCTAAATACAGCGTGTCGCGTCATCCTTTGGTCGTTGTTTTAACTTCTAATTTGCTTGCTAAAAGAAGTGACGCTTATTATACGTTAGAGGAAGTCGAAGTCGATAGTTTTTTCATTCCGCGAATATTCTCTAGATTATATTCGTAACTCAAGATTTAAACTATAATTTAACGCGATGACCTAATCTATTATACGCATTATACATTAAGTCTAATTTTCCATATTCTTTTCGTCAATCCCTTATAAGGCAATCAAATCATTAAGTACGCAGCGACCTGCATTGTGCCAACATTTGTGTCACGGTCGGATCCCTATATAATGACAACTCATTGATTTTTGGGCTCTTCGGCTTTAAGTTTTAAAAGGATAATTTAAATGTAAAATGGGAATACACGACGGGAAAAAGGTTACCGTCACATGTAAGTTGGATTTACTTTCGAATTGATCTTCGTTACCAATTTTTTTTATCATCCAATGGTCCCTTTAATTCGATAGATTTCGACGAGTACGAAATATGGGAGCAAGTAGCTGATGGATTCCATTCTCACCTTCCACTCCGCAGCCTGCACTGGAAGTCTCCAAAAGGCCAAGTGCGTAATATAAACATTTTGGACATTGAGATGAAACGATTCATTCCAGATTCCATTGAGAAACAACACATGATGCCAGAGACATTACTGGAAAAGCCTTATCTCAACCTAT